GGTCGCACACGTAAGTGCTCCTCCGTTGTCTGTCTCAGCCCTTGTTGCTACTGTCAGTGCCTTTGCCTCGTCCCACCGCCTTGACTATGCCTCTCACCTAGTGAGCGGCCCTGCTCGTTCTCCGTCTACTAGGGGTGCTCCTGTTTTTCCCCTGGAAGTCCTGGAGGATAGGCGTTTCGAGCTTGGTTTCCTTGTGGCCGCTGTTCCTCATCTCTGCACCATGCTGCTTGCCCTTGAGGAGGATCCAGATGCCCTTGACATCTCGATCCCTCGAACTCACGCTGAGGCGGTCCAGGGACCTCGGGCTACGTACTGGATTGCAGCTGAGGAGGCAGAGATGGCATCTTTTAGGTCCACAGGCACCTACATCGACACAGTCCGCAGGCACCACCTGGGGCGAACGTCGTCAGTGGCATGTGGCTCTACAAGGTGAAGCGGGCGCCTGGAGCACCACTGGTGTTCAAGGCGCGCTACGTGGCGAGAAAATGCAGTCAGCAAGAGGGGGTAGACTTTTTCCAGACCTTCGCTCCCACCCCGAAGATGACCACTCTCCGAGTGTTGCTGCACACTGCAGCCCAGCGAGACTACGAGTTGCACTCCTTGGACTTCTCCACAGCTTTCCTTCAGGGGAGCCTGCACGAGCAGGTCTTCGTTCGCCTTACTTCACTAACTCTTTCCCTGCTGGGACCCAGTGGCAGCTGCGTCGACCGATCTACAGCCTGCGCCAGGCTCCCGCCGAGTGGCACGACACGCTTCTCACGACTCTTGCAGCACTTCGTTTCGTTCCGCCGTCTTCGACCCGTCGCTGTTTGTCCGCTGTACCGCAACTCTGATCTTTTTTCTGGTTCACGTAGACGACCTGGTCTTTGTCAAGAAACTGAACGAGAATGAATGAACTAATATCAGAGTGGGTACAAGTACTAACCCTAATTGGGTTGTACCCCACTACAGCCTACACAATATGAACATTATAACAGTTTGACACACCCCCATAGGCAAAGTGAGGGAGAACAAGTGGTCACAAGACCTGTCAAGAAAAGCAAAGCAAGCCCAGGGTGGATCACAAAGTCACCACACACTCTGAGCACAAGTGAATGGCCGCAAGGCCAGTCCACATGCAGAGTTATATAAATGAGAACAAACTGGACAATGATCATAACCTAGCAGGGGTAAGCATGTAGGTATATGTATATAGATCACAGTACAAGCAAAGTCACGAAGTGAGCAAGTGAGACAAAACAAGCACAAGGCCTAAAACAGTACAGAAACGCTGATGATCACAAGGCTGAAATGCCTTGGTGAATATATCAGCAGTGTTGGCCCGAGTGGCCACGTAAGCAAGACCAAGCTGACCACGCTGCTGCAACTCTCGAGCAAGGAAGTAACGCAGAGCGATGTGCTTCGTCCTGTGCTCCAGTTTGTGCTCCTGACACAAGGAAACCATGGCCTTGTTGTCTACGTACAGAACTGGAGGAGAACGAGGCAGCTCTCCCAAGTTGGTCAGTAGGCAGGTGAGCCAGCGTAACTCCTGTGTAGCCATGGCCCCTGCGTAGATCTCAGCCTCACAACTGGAACCGAGAACAGAAGACGAGCGGGTAGACCGCCAAGAAACAGAGCCGGAGCCAAGGCTGAAGGTGTAACCATGTGACGACCGCTGCGTAGCCAAGTCGTCAACTCAAGACGCGTCTGCGTGTCCAGTGAGGACAAGTGGACCCCGTCCTCCAAGCACGAGCCCCATGCCCGATGTACCGCACAAGTAGCGCAACACCCTCTTAGCGGCCTCCCAGTGCTCTGGTCGGTGTCTCCCGGGCGCAACGTAGCGTGCCAAGATGCTAAGAGGGTAGGCAAGGTCAGGTCGAGTGCAGGTCATCAGGTACATGAGGCAGCCCACAAGCTCTGGATACGGGCCACTCGGCTCTACGGACTCGCCCGAAGGTGGAGCTGAGAGCGAGTGACCGGTAGGCAGAGTGGACTGTGGCGAGGAGTACTGGAAGCGGAAGCGCTGAAGGACCTGGTGCACCATGTGTGACTGAGTTAGGGTGATGGTGCGCCGTGCTCTGTCCCAGGTGATATACAAGCCAAGATAGCTGCGCAGCTCACCCAGGTCAGTGCAGGTATGTCTCTTTTGTAGCTCCAACTTCACAAGGGCCAGTCCCTCAGTGTCAGCAGTGGCAAAAACCAAGTCGTCGACGTACACGAGGATGTAGAACGGCGGCAGCGAAGTGTCGGTGCGCAGAAACAGCGACAGGTCAGCAGTCGAAGGAGCAAACCAAGAGCCGCAGGCGTTGTCCTCAGTGTGTCGTGCCACTCGCGAGGCGCCTGGCGGAGAGCGTAGACTGGTCGCCAGAGGCTCCACTGGGTACCTGCAGCAAACGACCCAGTGAAGCCAGGTGGGCGGCGCAGCCAGATCTCCTCGTGAAGGCTGCCCTGTAAGAAATGTGTACTGAAGTCAAGAGAGTGAAGCTCGTAGTCAAGCTGAGCGGCGACGTGCAGCAGCACCCGAAGAGTGGTCATCTTTGGGGTAGGGGAGAAGGTCTGGAAGAAGTCAACTCCCTGTCGCTGACTAAAGCCTCGTGCAACGTAACGAGCCTTGAAGACAGGCGGAGAACCCGGCGGCCGCTTCACCCTGAAAATCCACGGGCCATCGACTATGTTCGCCCCAGGAGGGGGAACTACGTTGACGTAAGTGCCTGTGGACTTCCAGGATGCCATCTCTGCGTCCATGGATGTCTGCCACTGAGAGGAGTAGGGACCCGTAATCGCCTCTGCGTAAGAGCGCGGGGTCGGGATGTCTAAAGCATCCGGGTCTCCCTCAGGTGCAAGCAGCATGGCCACGAGATGAGGTACAGCAGCTGCAAGACACTCAAAGTCCTCCTGCCTGTCCTCAAGGACGTCCGTGCCAAGAGCACACTCACCCCCGACGGACGGAGGACAGTCAGACGCAGACTCAGCAACAAGACTAGCGGCGTAATCGAGACGACACGCAGCAGCAAAGTCAACAAGCTCAGCAACTAGGGCAGACGCAGCAGTGGACTCAAACGAAGGGTCGGTGACAACAGTGGCTAGGAGACGTGTGACAGTAGGGCTGGCAGCACGAACCAAGTCAGACTCAGGGTCCGGAACATCAGGTAGAGAGGACGCCGGAGGAGACGGCAGGGGATCTCGCAGTGCAACAGAGGAAGGACGAAGTGCCATACCGTGAGTGCCGGGGACAGGAGGAGGACGCGGACGAGGAACACGACGACCAGTGCGAACAGCGCGAACAGGCGAGGCAGGACGAGACTCAGGCGCACGACGCTCTGTAAGAGAGTCTGTCTACTCAGTGTAAGGAGAAGGAGCATGCAGTGGGGAGTCTGGCTGTAACTGTGGCTGCGACTGGTCAGGCGGTGGTCTTAGTAGAGGTGGAGTAAGGCCAGTAGAAGACGGGAGACTAAGAACCTGGCGAAGCAGTGGAACGAAGTACGGTCGCAGCCGCACAGTGCCTCCAGTACCAGTACCGACAGCTCCAGCACCCCCAGGGCCAGCACCTCCAGCTCCAGGGTCTGCAGCACCACCAGCTCCAGTAGCTCCAGTATCTCCTGGACGAGCACCTCCGGGACCTGCGTCTCCAGCACCTCTAGCACCTCCAGCACCTCGAGTACCAGCAGCACCACCAGCACTGGCAGCTCCAGTACCTCCAGACCGAGGACCTCCAGGACCAGCAGCTCCAGCACCTCCGGTACCTCCAGCTCCAGCGCCTCCAGCTCCAGGGCCTGCAGCACCACCAGCTCCAGCAGCTCCAGTACCTCCTGTACGAGCACCTCTGGGACCAGCAGCTCCAGCACCTCCAGGACCAGCAGCTCCATTGCCTCCAGCTCCAGGGCCTCCAGCGGCAGGCCCCCCAGCTCCAGCAGTGCCAATGCGAAGGCGGGTGCGCCGAGCAAACCACTCGCGCAGCTGCGGTGGAGAGAGAGGCTCCCGCCGTGATGAGGCACCCGTAGGACCTCCAGCAGACACAGTACCTCCAGGCTCAGCACCCTTTTGACTCAGTACCCCCAGGCTCCGCACCCTCAGGCTCAGCACCCCCAGGCTCCGCACGCTCAGGCTCAGCACCCCCAGGCTCCGCACCCTCAGACTCAGCAACCCCATGCTCAGCACCCCCAGGCTCCGCACGCTCAGGCTCAGCACCCCCAGACGCAGCATTCCTAGCAGCACCAACCCCAGCAGCACCAGAGTCGACAGCGACCTCGACAGGCTCAGCCAAGGGGTGTGGGTCTACCTGAGACACACCTGAGGGAGCAGGACCCTGAGGGGGGAGGGGGTCTATCGGAGGGGGACCTGGTGCGAGGAAGAGCGGCGGGGGGGGGGGGGGAGAGGGGCAGTGCGGTAGGGGAAGAGACGGTAAAAGGGAGCCGACTCGTCAAACGTGACGTCCTGAGAGGGCAGGACACGGCGCGAGGTGGGATGGTAAAACTGCCAGCCAGGCGCGTCAGGGGGAAAGCCATGGAAGACACAGGGAATGGCGCGGGAGGAGAGCTTGTCCGCGGAGGTATCGCGGACAAAGGCACGAGAGGCCCAGACCAGGAACACCGACGCATCGCCAACCTCTCCCGTCCAACGCAGTGTAGGCGAGGTCTCCGGATAGGAGACACGGGGCCAGAGGTTGAGCTGATGCGCAGCGTACCGGACCGCAAACGGCCACAGAAAATGGGGAGCAGCCGCATGGATCATGGAGGTACGAGCGACCTCCATGACTAAGCCAATGCGGCGCTCAGCAACCCCATTCTGCTGCAGAGAGGCCGGAAGCGTGAACGACTGGCGAATCTCACGACAAAAGTCCCGCAAGAGGTCGGAGGTCGCAGGACAGGAAGGTCTTCGCGGAACCGCTCGCGGAGCTGGAGACGGACAGCGCGGATTCAAGGGATCAAAACATCATGGACCTCCCCCTTGATGCGCAAGGGGAAGACCGTGGTGTAGCGCGAATATTCGTCAACAACCAGCAAAAAGTATCGCTCGCGGCCCTATCCACGGACGCGGGCTGGGCCCCACACGTCCATGTGGAGAGTCTGCAGGGGAGCAGTCGTCGAGGGAAACGAGGAGGAGTGAGGAGCGGCGCGCTGCCACCCCTCGACACAGGGAAGGCAGGGAGGGGCGGGCGAGGGTGGGAGGGCAGGCAGAGACCTGGGAAGACCAGAGACAAGAAGGTGGAAGTGCATGCTACGGAGGCGTGGCAGGGAGGGGTGACCAAGGCGGTGGTGCCAAAGGAGAGTCTGGTGCGACAGGAGGCGACACGAGCAGGGGGCTGCTACCGGACCTGACGCGGACACCTGACCAGATGCAGATACCTGAGGAGGCTCAGTAGTCAGTGTGTACAGACTCGACCCAGGCCGACGGGTGAACGTGGCCAGGTGACGGCCCGTCCGTGTACACGTGCAGATCGACACACGCTGACCCCCATGAGTGGTGGTAGTGACCATCGCATCCTGGAGAGCAGCGGTACTCACCAAGTTCGTAGAGAACGAGGGGAGGTGAAGACCTGAGAGTGAGCCGGACGGAACCGCCGGACACGGGAGAACAGTGGAGGAATGTGCAAGAACTGGGCCCCATGAGGGGTCAGCCAGTATGACCGCAACAGGTGCAGGGAGTGGTGTGACTGTGGTACTGTCGCGAAAGAAACAGCAGGAAGCACATGAGTCAAGCGTGAAGGTGTGCAAGGCCTCAGCAGGCGGAGTACCAGGGAGAGCAGACTCACTACACCTAGTGCAGCAGCCTATATACCTTGGTCGGGCGGCACACACAGGTAACAGTCACCCTCAGCACAAACAGTCAAAGCATACATGGCAGCAAGGATAGCGTCATAGTCAAGAGCAAAGATATCCACACCCTGTCTAAGCAGCTCTAGCCAGCGGGGGGGCTCAGTCGCGTCGGGAAACTTTGCGCGCCAGGCGTCGTCAAGACGGGAGAAGCAGCGGGACTGTGTGTGACCAACCTTCCCGCATGTCTGACCAGCGCGGTCACCTGTGCGAATGACGTACTGGCAGCGAACACCACCCCCAGACGCCCCACGCTGAGCAAACCACTCACGAAGCTCCTGGGGCGTAGGGGTCTCACGCGGACGCTGCTGCTGCTACCTCTGACCACCGCCAGAACCTCCCCTCTGACCGGTTCCTCCCCGACCGCCACCACTGCCGCCGCCACCACTCCCACTGCCGCCACCACTGCCGCCGCCACCACTCCCACTGCCGCCACCACCGCCGCCACCAACGCCTCCACTCCCACCACCACTCCCTCCGCCACCACCGCCACCTCCACCGCCTCCACCGCCCCCACCACCGCCTCCACCGCTGCCACCCCCACCACCCTTGCCTCCCTTGCCCTTGCCGCTGCGGTGCCTCCCACTATGAGCAGACGCAACCCCGACCTCCTCAGCACGAAGGAAGTCAACAGCAGCAGTAGAAGCGAAAGAGGGGGCAAGGGGGGAGGGGGGGGGGACACCCCTCAAAGAAGGGAGTGCGAGGAGTGCCACGAGCAGCACCTACAGCGACTATGCTAGCCTCAGCTGCAAGGAGGTGCTTCTCGAGCAGGTCGACAGTGAGGTCCGTGGGGTCCATGGCGAGAAAGAGGTCCCTGACTGCGCTAAGAGAGTCAGGGAGGCGGGTGACGATGAAGTAGAGAGTGATGTACATGGGGGGAGGGTTTGCGTCTAGAAACATGGTGGGAAGCACGGCGCGGTAGCGAGTGTCGCTAGTGAGAAGGTGGGTGATGAGGTCGTCGACTGAGGCAAAGGCGGACAGCTCCGGAAAAAGGTAGGGCAGTATAAGGCGGCTGAGAGCAGCAGTGGCAGGGGAGGAGTAACGAGCGACTACAGCGCCGTACAGGGCTTTAGCAGTCTTGTGCTGGCCAAAGTGAGCGCGTTCGGCTAACGGTAAGTGGTTGCGAACGGCTAGGCGAGCAGCAGCGTCACGGGTAAGCCACTCTGAGCGAGTCGCACTGTCAGCTGTGTCGGGAGGGGCGAGAGAGGCTCCAGACGTGAGGTCAAACAACGAAACGCCGTCGCTAGAAACGCTCAGTAGGAATAGCTGTAAGTCATCGAGCCACGTATCGAACTGGATCAGACGGCCCTCAGGATCGAATGTGAGGACGCTGAGAGTAGCCATAGCGGGCAGAGCAGGGTGGCGCGCGAGCAGCAGAGAAGCACGCAAGCAAGGACGGCGCGACGGGCAGGGCGGCGCGCAAGCGCTAGGGAAGCGCGCAGGGCAGGGCGGGGCGGCGCACGGCTAGGGCAGGGCGGCGCAACTGGCAGGGCAGGGCGGCGGCCAGCGGGGCAGCGTGCGGGCAGGGCAGGGCAGGGCGGCGGCCAGCAGGGCGGCGCGTAGGCAGGGCAGGGCAGGGCGGCGGCCAGCAGGGCGGCGCGCGGGCAGGGCAGGGCGGTGCGGCGGCCAGCAGGGCGGCACCCGGGCAGGAAATGGCAGCGCGCGGGCAGAGCAGGGCAGCGCGACGGTCAGGGCAGGGCAGAGCAGCGCGAATGGTGGGGTAGCGCGCTACGGCAGCTAACGAATCGGTGGGCCCTAAAAAAACGGTCCTGGAACAGGACCTACTCTAAAACCATGTCAAGGAACTGAACGAGAATGAATGAACTAAGATCAAAGTGGGTACAAGTACTAACCCTAATTGGGTTGTACCCCTTATGGGCTACCCCACTACAGCCTACACAATATGAACATCATAACAGTTTGACAGTCTTCGCCACTCCTGGAGGCACCGCACTTGCCTCAGTTAAGGAGGAACTGCAGAGGAGACACACTTGCACTGACCTAGGTGAGCTGCAGCGCTACCTTGGCCTGCAGATCACCAGGGACAGGGCAGCTCGCATAATTACGCTGACGCTGTCGCATACGGTCGAGCAGATCCTCACACGGTTTCGCTTCCAGTTCTCCAAGGTACAGCTCACCCCTCTTATTGTGGATCATGGAGTCACGGCTCCACCTTCGGACGAGTCATTCGAGTCCAGTGGTCCATATCATGAATTGGTGGGTTGTCTCATGTACCTGATGACCTGTACTCGTCCAGACTTGGCTTTCCCTCTCAGTGTCCTTGCGCGCTTTGTTGCGCCTGGGAGACACCGAACTTCCCACTGGTTGGCTGCTAAGAGGGTGCTGAATTATGTGACGAGCACATCAGGCATGGGACTTGTTTTTGGAGGGAAGCAGCCTGTTACGCTCACATGTTACTTGGAATCGTCGTTCGCGGACTGTGCCCAGACATACAGGTCTTCATAGGGTTACTGCTTCAGCCTTGGGACCGGGGCTGTCTCGTGGAGGTCGACTCGGGCGTCGTCCTTCGCTAGCTCCAGCTATGAGGCAGAGGTGTACGCTGTGGCCATGACCGCACAGGAGCTTCGTTGGCTGTCTTTCCTCCTCACCGACCATGGTGAGCGGCCTCGCTCTCCCCCAGTCTTGTTCGCTGACAACATGTCTGCAGTCCTGTTGTGCGAGGAGCTCCGACTGGTTGGGAAGGCGAAGTACATCCAGCTTCGTTACTTCCTTCGGCGCGAGTTGCAGCAGCGTGGCCAGGCCCGCGTGGTACGTGTGGTCTATGAGGCCAACACTGTAGATGTTTTCACAAAGGCGTTGCCGCTTTGTGGCCATCAGCGTTTCTGCACCCAGCTGGGCCTTGTGCTTTGCCCGTCCTCTCTTGCTTACATAGAGATGCTTTTCTTGCTTGTCTTGTACTCTTGCATCTCCTATATTTGCTATTTGCTTGCATGTGGACTGGCCTTTGCGGAGATAACTACTACAACGCGAGCTAGACTACGGGCTAGGCACGGGTGCTCGTGTGATCTCTGCGTTCGTTGTTCCTTAGTCGTTTTCCTAGTGCACACACTGCTTGCTAGACCACGGGGTAATTTGGCAAGAGTTTCACTAGAGAAAGTTGACACCAATGGTCCAATGAAGTTGGCATGGCAAGACTACATCAAAGCTAGCATTCAGGTCGGTCGACTGCCAGCGCAGCATGGTCGACCGCGTTCCAGCACGACTTGGTCGACCGCGCTCCAGCAGTGCAAAGTCGACGGCGTGCCAACACAGTAGGTCGACGGCGTGCCAGCGTTGCTCCCGCAGTACAGCATCGCACCAGCTTCGCAGGTGCTCGCAGATGATTGGCGTGCTGAGCCTTGTCACCTGCACAGCGCACACACCAAGTCAACCTGGCACTGACGACTGCATCTGATCAGCCACGTCGACCTCGGGATACCACCACCGAGGTCGGACTCGCCAACTTCGCCTGGGCAACCGTCGCACTCCTCCGCAGAACCTCGTCACCCAGGTAACCTGGTCGACCGGGCAACCACGTCGACCAGCTGCTCCTGTATGTGCCCGTCGACCTCCCAAGTCGACGACCACCTCAAGTCGACCTCACCAGGTCGACCACACCCCTGGTCGACCAGCTCCAGGTCGACGTCCCTCCTGGTCGACCAGCTCCACGTCGACCAACACTCCTGGTTGACCAGCTCCATGTCGACCAGCGCAGTTGTCAGCCGACCACCCAAGTCGGCTACCCGAAGTCGGCGTCACCAAGTTGACGCCCTGCTACTCGACGCCCAGCTGCTCGGCGTCCTGAGTCGTGGTCGACGTCGGCCCCTCCTCCGTCGACCACCAGGTCAGGTCGACCACCAGGTCGACATCACTCCTGGTCGACCTACCACCAAGTCGACCAGCAGGCCCGGTTGACCAACCACCAGGTCGACCGCCAAGTCGGCTGCCCCCAAGTTGACGTCACCAAGTTGACGTCCTCCGCAGGTCGACTTCCCAGGTCGACCTCCCTGAAGTCGGCGCCACCCTGAAGTCGGCGCCCGTGCAGTGGCCCCCGTGCAGGTCGACCTCCTTGTCAACCAGCTCGCCCACTGCTGCAGGTCGGCTGCTCCCCTCACACCCGACCACGAAGTCGGCTCCGCCCAAGCGAGGACGGGGCCAACACACGACTCCCGTTGACACTCCCCTGCCGCGTTCACGCTTGGGCCCCTGCCCACACGGCAGTACTTCTCGGAGACTAGCTCGTCGACCTGCACCTAACACAAAGCATGTCGTCCACCGCACCAGCCATGCAAGAGGGCATGGCACCTACTGCTGCACGTCGTCAACTTCGTCGCCCACGTCGGCCAAGCGCACCTGGCCGATGGCGACGGAGCACCGGTTGAAGGCCGGATAGTGCAGCGCCTTCGTCAGGAAGTCGGCCGGCTGCTCGGTGGTCGGGATGTACCTCAACGAGAACTTCCCGCGCCTCACCATGTGCTGCAGCCAGGCCTGTCGCCGCTCCATGTGCTTGAGGTTGCCCGTCAACCCCATGCCCTCGGCGACCGTGATGGCCGACTTGTTGTCCACCCGGAGGACGGTCGGTTTTCCGGCATCCAGCTGCCGGAACTCTGCAAGGAGGAAGCGAAGTCGACGTCCCTCCTTGCCGGCTTCGGTGGCCGCCACGTACTCCGACTCGGTTGACGACAACGTCGCGCACTTGATGCGGTGGCTCGACCAGGAGACTGCGGCCCCTCCGTAGACGAACACGTAGCCGCCCGTGCTCGTCCTGTTCTGCTTGTCACCGGCGTCGTCGGCGTCCACGTAGCCGACCAGCTCCAGCGACTCAGGTCCACCGCCGAACTCCAGGGCGGTGTCACGCGTGTTGGCGAGGTAGGCGAGGCAGCGGTCGACCTCGCGCCAGTGCTGGTCGCTCCTCACCGTGAGGCCGCTCCCCAGTTTGATGCAGGCGAAGGCGATGTCCGGCCTCGTCGTCGTCACCGTGAACTGCAGCGAGCCAACCTTCTGCCGGTACTGCTCCTCCTGTCGCTCCTGTGCCTCCTCGTCGTCGAAGGTGAGCTCGGCGTAGGCGTCGACCGAGACCGGCGTCTTCGGAGTGCGCCCGGTCTGCTCCTCCTACGCAGCTTGTCGGCGTAGCCCTGCTGGTGCAGCCACAGCTTTTCCGCCGACCTCTCGCGGACGATCTCCAGCCCGAGGTACTTCTGCACCGGCGAGATCTCACGCAGCTCGAAGGCGGACTCCAGCAGCTCCTTCAGCTCCTTCAGCATCTCGGTGCTGCTGCTGGCAGCGAGCAGGTCGTCGACGTAGACCAGCACCCAGCAGGCCACGTCGTCCATGCCGACCTTGAAGTACAACGCCTCGTCGACCTGGCTCTTCTTCCACCCGGCGTCGACCAGCACGTCGTTGAGCGCCAAGTACCACAGCAGCGGCGACTGCTTCAGCCCGTACAGGCTCTTTAGCAGCTTGCAGACCCGGCCGGTTCCATCGTTGAAGTAGTCCGGCTGGGACATGTAGAGCACCCGGTCGAGCTTGCTCTGCAAGAAGGCGTTCTTCATGTCGAGCTGCATCAGGTTGAGGTTGAGGACGGCGACGATGCTGAGGAAGATCCTCAGGGTGACGTAGCTGCCCACCGGCGCGAACGTCTCGTCGTAGTCGGCGCCATACACCTGGGTGAAGCCCTTCACGACCAGTCTCGCCTTCTCGCGCTCGACGGTGTCGTCGACGTGGTACTTCGTCGTCAACACCCACCGGTTCTTCATGATGTTGACCCCCGGCGGGCGTTCGACCAGCTCCCAAGTGCCCATGTTGATGAGGCTGCGGATCTCCTCCTCCATGGCGGCCTTCACCGCCGGGCCCATCCAGCTCGCCAACGCCTCCTTCACCGTCATCGTCGAGATGTCCCAACGGTGCTCGGGGTCGGCCAGCATGTCCGGGTCAAGCTCCGGAAACTCCTCATCCTCCTCTGCGTCGTCGTACAGCAGGTCGTCGTCATCGTCCACGTCGTACACCGTGGTGAAGGCAGCGGGGACGAAGAAGTCCGGCGGCCTCCGAAGTCTATCAGACTTCCGAGGTTCAGGTCGAACCTCCACCACGTCACTCTTGGTGGACTCCCCGGCGTCCTCACTGCCCTCGTCGTCCTGCTGCACCTCGGTCGACTTCCTGGTCGACCTCTCCCCTGTGGTCGGCGTCCCTGCCGACTGCTTGGTTGCCGACTGCTCCGTGGTCGGCTTCACCGCTGCCTGCTCCCCTGTCGGCTGCTTCTCAGCTGCCTTCTTCGCCGACTTCACCCAAGTCGGCTGCTCCTCCTCGACCTGCTCCGCCCCTGTCAACGTCGACTTCACTCCCGC